AGCATAGATAGAAAAGAAGTCCCAGGAGTGAGCCCTGGGACAGCTTAATAGTGAAAGACTGGACATGAGAAAAACATAGCAAAAGAAACTAAGAAGCAATGGCCAATTGAGTTGGAAGAAATATCAAAAGCTTTGGTGTTGTAGAAGCCAGGTGAAAAGGTACTTCAACAAAATGGGGTGATCAATTGTGTTTAATTCTTTTGATAGGTGAAAAGAAGTCTGAAAATGAATGACCATTGGATTCAGCTACGTGGAAGTCATTAGTGACTCTGAAAAAAGTATTGTCTTTGGAGAGGTGAAGGCAGAGTCTTACTAGAATGCATTCAAGAGAGAATGTGAAAAAAAAAAGATAAAAAAAAAGAATGTGAAAACAGGAGGAGGAGGTACAGACAACTCGAGGAGTTTTGTCATAAAGAGAAGCAGAGAAAAGTGGTGGTAGGTGAAGGAGAAGGCGGGTAAAGAAGGGTAGCTTTCTTTTCTTCTCTCTCTCTCTCTCAGTTGGTTGATTTTAAAGATGGAAGAAATTACAGTAGCTTTATATACCTACCTACACAGGTAGGTAGGGAGGTAGATATGGTGGTGGGAACTTGGGGAACCTCCCCTTTGACTGCTTGTCTTTTCAGTTGTAAAGGAAGCATTGTCACCAACTGGTGAGTATAAGGGAAAACCTAGAGGAAGTTTAAGGAGAATAAAGGAATAATTATTTAGGAACGCCTTCATTCTTTTTCAGTTGGTTTTTACCTGAAATGTCTGCCATTTACCCTATTTTAAATAGTGGGCCCAAATTTAATCCTGTTATCCCCCCCAGAAATCAAAATCTATCTCAACAAGGCTCACTTCTTACATTCAGGCCTCTTCATTTCTATAGGTCCCTGCTCATTTAGAAAACTTATAGAATGTTTCCTCCCAACTGGGATTTCACAGACTTGTAAATTCAGGCAGACTCTTGGATTCCAGGCTTCTTTCCAAAGTGCATCTATCCAATTCAAACAGGATTCACCACACATGATCAGTAAGGATCATGAATTGGAGTTCATCAAAATTAAGAGCTTACTCCTTGATAGCTACTAGCTATCCTAGCATTCTCGAACCCCACAAAAATAAATCATTAACACTGTTTACATATTACCAAATTACAATGCAAAATCATACTCATACCCAAGTGAGATTTATGTTCATACACTAAACTTAGAGGAAGAAGACTTGAAAGCTGCTTAATCTTATGCAGGATTTAATCCCATCATTATTTCACTATTAACTTGATGTCAGACAAATTAATTCACCTATCACAGATACCTAAACTAAAAAAATAGAATAAGCAAAATCTTGTTGTACGAAACCAAACAAATAAGAGCCAATACAACTTAGAATTATAGGAGTAAAAGGTTGGTCTTGACATCTGAAAATCAATTAATGTAATATATCTTGTTAAATAGGAAAAAAAAACCCACAATAATCTTAATAAATACAAAAAAATTCCACAAAAATAAACACCTTTTCATAATAAAAACACTCAACAAATTAGTAACAGAATGTAACTTCCCCAAACTAATAATGGGCATTCAGGAACCCTTTATTAAAAGCCATTACTGGGGCACCTGCCTGGGTGGCTCAGTGGGTTAAGCGTCCAACTTTTTATTTCAGCTCAGGTCATGATCTCAGGATTGTGAGATCAAGCCCCATGTCAGGCTCTGTGCTGGGCATGGAGCCTGCTTAAGATTCTCTCTTTCCCTCTCCCTCTGACCCTCAGCCCTCACTGTCCACCCACTTCACTCTCAATCTAAAAAAAGTACCTTTATTAAAACCCACAGCTAACATCATACATAATAATGAAAGACCAAATGTTTTTACCCTAAGCCCAGAAACAAGACAAGGGTGTCACTCATCATTCCTATTCAACATGGTACTGGTTGTTCTACTCAGGGCAATTAGACAAGAATAAGGTATTCATACTGGAGAGGAAAAAATTATCTCTATTTGCAAATAAGAAATATATATATATATATATATATATATATATATATCCCAAGAAACCTCCTAAAAAACTATTAGAAGTAAAAAAGAGTTCAGGAAGGTTGCAGAATACAAGATCAAGATACAAAAATCAATTATATTTTCTATACACTTGTAATGAACAATCTGAAAATAAAATTAACAAAACAATTCTATTTAAAACAGCATCAAAAAGAATAAAATATTTTGGAATATATTTAACAAAATAAGTACACATTTTATGCTCTGAAAACTACATAACATTGTTGAAAGAAATTAAAATAAATAAACACATAGATTAACAGAACAGAGAGCTCAGAAATAAACCCCTGCATTAATGGTCCGTTAATTTTTGACAAGTGTCACATCAATTCAAAAGGGCAGGTAAGTTTTTTGAACAAATGGTGTTGGGACAACAAAAGAATGAAGTTGGGCCCCTAACACTATACACAAAAACTAACTCAAAATAAATCACAGACCTAAATGCAAGAGCTAAAACTCTTAGAAAACATAGGAGTGTATTAGGATTTGGTAATGGATTAGGTAGTGGTTAAAGCAACAAAAGAAAAGCCAGATGAATTGGAGTTCATCAAAATTAAGAGCTTTGGTGCCACAAAGGGAATCATCAAAAAAGTGAAAAAAACAAGCTCCAGAATGGGAGAAAATCTTTGCTAATCATGTCTGAGAAGGGGCCTGTATGTAGAATATACTACCCCTCGTAACTCAATTATCAAAAGATAAATAACCCAACTACAAAACAGGTAAAAGATCTGAAAAGATAGTTCTCCAAAGATATACACAGGGCTGATAAGCAAATGAAAAGATGCTCAACATTGTTAGCCATTGGGAAAATGCAAATTAAAACCACGTTGAGGTACCACTTTACACCCAGTGGGATGGCTATAATCAAAGAGACAGATAAGGACACATGTTGGTAAATGTGAAGAAATCTGAACCGTTAAACACCATAGGCAGGAATATAAAATGGTGCAGCCACTTTGGAAAAGTTTTCAATTCCTCAAAATGTTCAACATAGAGCTACCATAGGACCCAGCATATACACTCCTAGGTATTCACGCCCAAGAGAAATGAAAACATATGTCCATAGAAAAATTTGTCAATAAATGTTCATAGCAGCATTCATAATAGCCAATTAATAGAAACAGCCCAAATGTTCATCAATTGCTGAATGAGTAAATAAAATGTGTTATCCACAGAGTGGATGGAGTATTACTGGGCAAAAAGGAGCAATGAAGTATTGATACATGTTGTAACATGGAAAAATCTTAAAAACATTCTACTATACCAAAAATTCTATATATCGTATGATTCCATTTATATGAAAAGTCCAGAATAGATGCATCTCTAGAGACAGAAAGTAGGGTGGTGATTGCTTAAGGCTGTGGGTGGAGAGAACAGAAATGGAATAGGTGTAGAGTTTTCCTCCTTAAAATTTTTAATTGTGGTTTAAAAAAAGCCACATAATCTAAAATTTACCACTGTAATTGTTTTTAAGTGTACAGTTCAGTAGTATTAAGTAGATTCACATGATTGTAAAATAGGTCTCCACATCATTGTAAAATAGATCTCCGATAGTACTAAACAGATTGTAACACAGATTGCAAAAAGGAAACTCTACCCATTAAACAACTTCCTGTTTCCTCCTGCCCTCAGACCCTGGCGATGACTATTCTGTCTCTGTGACTTTGACTACTCTAAGTTCCTCATGTAAGTGGAGTCATACTGTATTTGCCTTTTTGTGACTTTACTTCACTCAGCATAATATTCTTAGTGCTCATCTATATTATAGCATGTTAGTATTTCTTTCCTTTTTAAGGCTGAATAATATTCCATTCTGTATGTGCATCACATTTTGTTTATACATTCATCTGCTGACAGACACTGGGTTACTTCCACTTCTTGGCTATTGTGAATAATGTCACCATGAACATGGATATGCAAGGGTCTGTTCAAGATCCTGCTTCCAATTATTTTAGATACATACCAGAAGTGGGATTGCTGGATTATGGGGGCATCCCCTTAGAATGACAAGATGATTCTAAAATTTGACAGTAGCTGATAGTTGCGCAATCCTAGAATATACTAAAAACCACTAAATTGTACATTTCAAATGGGTTAATTACATGGTATATGAATTACACCTCAATAAAACTGTTTAATACAACTCAATGCTGAATCATTGATATAATTAAAGATTTTGACTGAACTAGATTATTAATCTGGGTAAATAACCAGTCAATCTTGTCATACAGGTAATTTTGACTCTTATTTTCAAAGACCTGGCTAGATGTTTAGGAGTTTTTTGAGACATAACTCAAGTGCTTCTTCAACACTAATTATTAGAGAAAACTAAGAAAAAGGAATTATCTGGGATCCCTGGGTGGCTCAGTGGTTTAGTGCTTGCCTTCAGCCCAGGGTGTGATCCTGGAGTTCCAGGATCAAGTCTCACATCAGGCTCCCTGCATGGACCCTGCTTCTCCCGCTGCCTGTGTCTCTGCCTCTCTCTCTCTCTCTCTCTGTGTCTCTCATGACTAAATAAATAATATCTTTAAAAAAAAGAAAAAGGAATTCTCAATATCTTTAATTCAATACTAAGCTTTTTCATATTTTGCATCAGGAAATACTATGAAGAAATAACAAATTCATGCTAACAATAGCAATTTTTATTTTATCTGCACTGTAGGTATGCCATTCACCAGATTTTTAAAAGATAGGGATAAATAAGGCAGGACTTTACTCACTTTGACTTCAGATTTACTTTTTTTTTTTTAAACATTTATTTATTTATTCATGAGTGACACACAGAGAGGCAGAGGCATAGGCAGAGAGAGAAGCAGGGTCCCTGCGGGGAACCTGATACAGGACTCGATTCTGGATTCCAGGATCACATTCTGAGTGGAAGGCAGATGCTCAACTGCTGAGCCACCCAGGCATCCCCAGATTTACTTTTTGGATAATGATTTCACATAGAAAATGCTCAAAAGACAGAGGGTTTATTCACTTTATTTTTACAATACAAAATTATAAAATTAAAAAGTTTTAAGTCCAATGTCATTGAGTAGGGAAAGAGGTACTAAGTTTAAAAGCCAGGAGAGAAAAATCTTGAGAAAAAAATGTACATCAAATTCAGATTCTTCTCACTTCTAATTGTTATACACAACTAGAAAAGCTATCAGCAATACAGATGGCCACTGATGCTCAGAAATTCATTTCATCATCTTCTTTTTGGCTTTATCTAGACATTTTCAATCTTGTCAAGACTCAAAGTCAAGACTTTAAGAAAGACAAAATGAGAGAATCTCAAAGATTTCTCATGATCTCTTCTGACCAGAGCAGAGCTATTGGTCTGACTGATCATTTGAAAACAATGTACTCCATACAGTTCATGACAAAAACACAGGTTTGGAGGTCAACTTTCAATTTCAGTTACAAGCACAGACTGAAATAATTGTTATAATCTAGTTATAGAGATGACTGTCATATGTGACAGTCCTTCTTACCAGATTACACATTTTAACAGCTTTTCCTAAATAATCTCTCAGGGTTGATTTTAAGTGAAGAGTGAAACACTAACAATTGGATTCAGATTCTCATTACAGATTTTTCAAAGTCCGTCTGTGTGCAGAAGCCAAATTATGCATGGCGACTCGAAGAGTTGAGGTCCCCTCAGGGATATCACAGGAATTGATGACGGAATGCAGTGCCCGGGTATATGCTGCAAATAGAGGTTTGCACAGTGATGAATGAAATCAGATTCTAAATTACTCTCCCAATCTCTTTCCCATTAGTACTGCTTCTTTACCAAGTCTCATAGGTATTTTGTCTATTCATTGAATAAATATTTATTGAGCACTTAGTACACGCCAAGCACTCCATGAGGACAGAAAAGATAATGAAGAGAATGAACATACAAATTATTAAATTGCAGTGTAACACTCTCAAACTAGAGGCATATACAAAATATCATCACAGAAAGAAGTTCAGAATGAATGAAAAATACATCTAGGAAAAGATGGAAAAGATTTCCAGAAGTAGTAACATTTAGGATGGTCTTGAAGGATTAGTAAGAGTAAAGGAAAGAAGGCCTTCTAGGCAGAAAAATACATAGTGTAAAATGTATAAAAAAGTGATATGTACTGGGAAATAGCAAGTTTGATAAGGCTTGAGTGTCACCTGGGGCCAGAGAGAAAATATGCCAATATGGCATACATTTTGTACTGTAATGGTGAACCCTCAAAGTTTTAGAATAGAGGAAGGGCATGATAAGATTTGTGTTTTTAAAATTTAACTCACAGAACTGATGAGAAATTTGTATCACACGGATGGGGCAGTAGGAGTACAAATACTGGCAGTATTTTTGGTGTGTACATGAAGCCTATATTATCTCTACACTATGTACATCAATATATTTAAGGATGGCCTGGAAACAGAAACATTAGTGCTAATAAGAAGGACTCTGTATTCTCAAGCTGGAACTTCTGAATACAGAGTTTATATGGGTCCTCATATTCCTCAGTGTCACTCGGCATAACTGGGAGTCTAACATGGATATGGATGGTAATAAGTCTATCTTAAGTGTCATGAAAGTTTTCGATAACAGGGAATTCAACTGGACAGAGGCCTAACTTAGATGGCCATAAAACAGAAGCTCTAGGGAAGCCTGGGTAGCTCAGTGGTTGAGCATCTGCCTTCGGCTCAGGGCGTGCTTCCGGTCCTCACATCGGGCTCCCTACATATGGAGCCTGCTTCTCCCTCTGCCTATATTTCTGTCTCTCATGAAAAAATAAATAAAATCTTAAAAAAAAAAAAAGCTCTAATTTCTTCATTTATAGGAGAACCTGGAATCCAAGTCTCCCAACAGTGGAGTGGAAATATTTCCCTAGCATAAATGGGAGACAAGAAGATAGCAGACCTCAAAAAGGATTATAACTCACTATAATTGTTTTTATTGCCTCAGAGTTGTTTTATAAGGGGTTATAACAGTCTCTGATATATACTAAATACCCAATAAATGCTAACTTCCTATTATCACTACATTTATTGTTTAGTCTTTTTTTTTTTTTTTAATTGCCATCAGGCTCAACCATTCCTTTAAGAAGCTTACCTCTATGGTTTTTATAGAAAATACAATTGTTGGCACAGGTATCAGGATGAGCATCCCAAAAGTCAGGACCACAACAGCAGAGGGGAGGTAAAGTAATATTATACAGTCGCATTTTCTCCTGGATCTGGGCTCGTAGAGCTTCCATATATCTATAAAGATACAGTTTGATCAGGCAAAGTGAACCACTAGGAAGAGAATGAGCATGAGTTCCTATTTTTACTACCAGCTTTAACCGTTAAAACTATTTCATATCTCCGTACCAATACAAAGACTTTATGCCGAACTTTTCAAAATACCTTTGGCATTCCTTTTCTCTCTGTTGTTGTTTTTCTCTGGCTCCTTTTATTTCCTCAAGTTGTAGCTGGGCTAGTATCTCACTCATCTTCTCTGAATATGGCTCTTCACGAAAGTTCATTCTTAGTATCCTCTGTTCTTCAGCATAACGCTGCTGCTCTTTCTTCTTCTTAATTCTGAGAATAAAATCCTAACATGGTTAGGAATTTCATAAAATAATTATTGAGAATTAGCTTCTAGACCCAAATGATTCAAGGAATTCCCAGAGATAAGAGTCAGGAAACCAGTGTAACACCCTTAGAATAGCCTCAGAAATTCCTGCTGGCTGATCTGAATTTATTCTACAGCTCACATAAATATACAGCCTCTCAAATGCCAATGACCACTGGTTACATATAAAAAAGTTTTTCTGGGGGATCCCTGGGTGGCTCAGCAGTTTGGCACCTGCCTTTGGCCCAGGGCACGATCCTGGAGTCCCGGGATCGAGTCCCACGTGGCTCCCGGCATGGAGCCTGTGTCTCTGCATCTCTCTCTCTCTCTCTCTCTCATGAATAAATAAATCTTTTTTAAAAAAAAGTTTTTCTGTAAGAATCCAAGTACAAAAGCTTTCTTACCTTAAACAACAAATAAATAGGTAAGTCAACCAACCCAACCAACTAACCAGACAAAACACAAAAACAATGGTTTTTATGGCTCTCGACATCAGGCAATGAGAAATAGTGATTCTTGATGGATGGTAAACAAATGAAGTGAGCCCGAAACTGCCCAAGCCTATTGCCTTGAAAGTTTCCAGGCAGCGGCACAAGGTGAGAGTGCAAAGGTAGAGCCTGGTAGCCTCCCTGAATTATGAAGATGGAGCTGAAGGTCCAGGGACACAAAGGCAACTAGAGTTCATAAGAGGGAACACTAGAAAGGAGAGAGCTGCTCAAGAGAGAAAACATGGAGATCTATAGAGGGTCTCCTTCTAATACACAGCAGAGTACTCTGACTTATTTGAGGAAATAACCTGAGGCTAGGGACAGAATCATCAAAACAGGTAACAAGGAACATAGCCTTGTGCTCACACAGAGCTGGGAATAGTGCCTGTTCTCACCAATCAGACTTGAAAAACTCATAATGCACAGGGCATTCGGTAGAGTTTTCAGGATGATCTTACCTCCACAGTGGGGAATAATGATTAGTCCTCAGCTGAGCACTGCACCAGACACAACCTAGTAAATCATAAAAGCAAAGCCCCAAAGTAACTTAATTGCACCCCAAAAGCTCAGAAAAATTTGTAAGAATATAGATATCTAGCAACCAACAAGGTAAAATTCACAATGCTTGACATCTAATCAAAGATTACCAAGCATGTTGGGATGCCTGGGTGGCTCAGTGGTTGAGTGTCCGCCTTTGGCTCAAGGTGTGATCCCGGAGTCCCAGGATTGAGTCCCACATCGGGCTTCCTGCATGGAGCCTGCTTCTCCCTCTGCTTGTGTCTCTACCTCTCTCTCTCTCTCTGTGTCTCTCATGAATAAATAAATAAAATCTTAAAAAAAAAAAGATTACCAAGCATGCAAAAAAGCAGGAAAACATATTCATAATGAAAAGAATAACCAATCGGAAAAAAATAACCAACCGGAATCAACCTAGAACTGAGTTATTAGAATTAACACAGGAACACATTAGAACAGTTATTATGTCTACATTTTATGCATTCAAAAAGTTAAGATATAAAAAAGATAAATCAAACTTTTTGAGGTGAAACTACAATTTCTGAAATGAAAAATACACAGGACAATAAGCCTATATCTAATGGAATCAAGAAGTAATAACCTTTCAAAACAGAAAGCACCAGGCCCACATGGGTTTGTGGAAGAAATTATACCAGTCCTCTACAATCTTCTTTCAGAGGAAAGAAACAGAAAGAATATTTAACTCATTCTATAAAGAGGCCAGCACTAACCTAATAAGAAAACCAGACAAAGATATTACAGGAAAAGAAAACTAGAGGGATGTCTGGGTGGCTCAGTCAATTAAGTGTCTGCCTTCAGTTCAGGTCATGATCTCAGGGTCCTGGGATTAAGCCTTGCATTGGGCTTCCTGCTCTATGAGGAGTCTGCTTCTCCTCTCCCCCTGCCCACACCCTGTTTGTACTCTCTCTGCCTCTCTCTCAAATAAATAAATAAAATCTTAAAAAAAAAAAAACTAGAGATCAGTATTTCTCAGGAACATAGAGACAAAAATTCTCAAAAGTCGAAACCAACAATGTATAAAAAGAATTATATGCCAAGACCAAATGGGACTTATCCCAGGAATGCAAGGCTGGTTCAACATGAGAAAAAAACAAACAAACAATGTAATCTATCACATCAACAGGCTAAGTAAGAAAAAGCACATGACCCTACAGATATATGCAAAAAAGCACTGGACAAGATCCATCACCATTTGTGATACTCTTGGTAAAGTAGAAATAAAAGGAACTTCCTAACCTTGATAAAGAGTATCTACAAAAAACCTACAGCTAGGGCAGCCCCGGTGGCTCGGTGGTTTAGCGCTGCCTTCAGCCCAGGGCAGGATCTTGGAGACCCAGGATCGAGTCCTGCGTCAGGCTCCCTGCATGGAGCCTGCTTCTCCCTCTGCCTATCTCTATGTTCTCAAGAATAAATAAATAAAAAATCTTTAAAAAAAAAAAACCTACAGCTAACATCATACTAAAAAAAAATGATGAAACGAGAAACCTGCCCACTAGACTCAGGAATAAGGCAAGACTGTCTCCTCTCACCATTCCTTTTCAACACGGTACTGAAAGTTTCTGAAATGCAATAAGACAAGAAAAGGAAATACAAGAGAAACAGATTGGGAAGGAAAATAAAAAGCTGTCTTTGTTTCCAGATGACATGACAGTCTATGTTCTTCCCAACCTGATCTTACAGATTCAATGCAATTCCAATAAAAATCCTAACAAGTCATTTTACAGATATTCACAAACTGATTCTAAAGTTTATATGGAGAGGCAAAATTCCCAGAATAGCCAACATAATACTGAAGGGATAAAACAAAGTTGGAAGATACACACTACTCAACTTCAAGACTTATTACAGGGGATCCCTGGGTGGCGCAGCGGTTTAGCGCCTGCCTTTGGCCCAGGCCGCGATCCTGGGGACCCAGGATCGAGTCCCACGTCGGGCTCCCAGTGCATGGAGCCTGCTTCTCCCTCTGCCTGTGTCTCTGCCTCTCTCTCTCTCTCTCTCTCTCTGTCTCTCTGTGACTATCATAAATAAAAAATTAAAAAAAAAAGACTTATTACAAAGCCAAGTAACAAGACAATGTGGTATTGGTGGGAGAATAGATAAATAGAACAGGATGGAACAAAGAGTCCAGAAATAGGCCCACCTTAATATAGTCATTGACCTTTGACAAAGAAGCAAAGGCAATGCAATGGCACAAAGACAAGTCTCTTCAACAAATGGTGCAGGAACAACATGGAATAACCATGTGCAAAAAATGAATCTAGACATAGATAGACCTTATACTCCTCACAGAATTAACTCATAAAAGGGTCACAGAATTAACTGTAAAACACAAAACTACAAAACTCCTAGATAGGAGAAAATCTACATGACTTTGTGTATGATGTTTGAGATACAACATCAAAAGTATGATCCAAAAAAAAAAATAAAAAAAAACCACAAAAGTATGATCCATAAAGGAAATAACTGTTAAGCTAGGCTCCATTAAAATCAGAAACTTCTGCTCTCCAAAAGGCACCGTCAAAAGAATGAGAAGACAAGCCACAGACTGGGAGAAAATATTTGCAGAACATATCTGATAAGACTATTAACCAAAAAGACAAAGAACTCTTATAACTCAACGATAAGAAAACAAATCTGATTTTAAAATGAGCCAAAGACCTGAACAGACACCTCAGCAAAGAATACAGTGTTGGCCCTGAACAACACTAGTCTGAACTGCATACATCCACTTACATGTGGATTTCTTTTTATTTCTGTTTCTTATGATTTCCTTAATAACATTTTCTTTTGTCTTACTTTATTGTAAGAATATGGTATATAATATATATTATATAAAACGTGTTAATCAGCTATGTTGATTATGTAATTGTGAAGGCTTCTAGTCAACAACAGGCTGTTAGCAGTCAAGTCTTGGGAGTGTTAAAAGTTACATGTGGATTTCTGACAGTGTAGAATATAACTGCCCCTAACTCCCATGTTGTTCAAAGGTCATATGATTATGGGATTGTGCCTTCGTGATGCGAGAGTGAGTGAATTACTGACTGACTGACTGAATGGTCAGGTTGCCCTTTGGTGAACATTAATATGGAAGACAAATATCTTCCTATCTTTTGCCCAGAAAGGTCTGTACATTAACCTCTTCCCCAGACCTTCTTTTCACCAACTTTCCAATAACATTCCTTTCAACCAAACCACTGACCACAGCCCACGGATCAACATGAACTCTTACCTTTCTATAAGCATAAAAGTTTAGGTTAAGTGAATGGTAACAGATCTTAGATCACCAAAACAGTCATAATGGCCATTCAAGCAATTCCCAGACTTGAGCCAATTTACAGAATGAGAACCTCTTGAATGAAGTGGAGTCCAGGTTCCCCTGAGAAAGGACCTTGCTACATTGCCAAAATTTTATACTGTTAATCTACTAGCCAGATGCCACAGGTCTCTGTGAGTCAGACTCCTGTGATTATTGCTTTGGCTCTGTTGTCCAATTATAGTAACCACATTCCTCTTGTCCTACCACTCCAGAACCACACCATCTCTACTGCATCAGGGATCCCAGTTTGATGGTTGCAGTTCCTATTATAATGTTTGGATTACAGAGAAGAATGGTCACAGAACTCTTCAAGGATGCTGAAGTTCCCCTCACAAATTCCTCACCGTGGCAATGTAATTCCTCTTGACCCTCCTAGAGTTGGGAACACATCTTATCTAAGTCCATTCTAACATACCAATCTCCCTAAGCTTTCGGATACCTTCATCTACAATATGTCAAAGCTATTCTGGCAGTTAACTTCATTTTGTGTAGGTTACCTTTGGGTATATGGTTTAGTCAACCAACCAAACTGTTAAAGACCTCTAACCCTTCAATCTCAAACTGAATTTGGAGTCTCTGCTGAGTGGGCCCATACCAATAAGTCTGACTCAACTTTATATTCCAT